TCAAGCAATCCTCCTTCCTCGGCCTCCCAGAGTGCTAGGATTACAGGCCTGAGCTACCGCACCCAGCCAAGAAATAAACTATTTCTCCAGTAGCAGGCAAGTTGCCTTCCTTAGAAGAAGATGCAGTTCTTCACTGTGGGAGGTGGGTTTCTACATTTGCATTTTTCTGTCATCTGGGGAGTTACATGAAGTGTAGGTGCTCCTATTGCCTGAGCAGGCCCTTGGAAGCATGGAAGGACAGGTGTCACAAATATGGCGATATGCTTGAGTGTCCGGAACATGCAGCAGTCCCGTGGAATGTTGGTGCCATAACAAACAGGCATGTTTTGGGCTGTGAAGGAAGGAATGTTGAGTAGTGATGTGGTAATGATCTCTTCTAAAGGAGGAAAATCTATCCAGTAAAGCCAACCAACACCCAAGGCTAGAGAGTTTTCCACTTCAGAACAACGTGGTTGCCAATACTCTTTAATGGGTACTTGTGAAAATTTTAGCAGTGGAGGCAAAGGAGTTGACTGAAGTGTCAAACTGAATTTTAAAAGATAGTTGATCCTTCCAGGAAGTAACAAATTCAACAAAACATCATTGAAGTTTGTCTAAACGTGTCCAGACAGAAAGACCATCAAGACATACTCAAGCAAACCCAAATTTGTTCCTCAAAATGTTACCACACGAGACATAAACGGAGCTGCCAGGCCAAAATGAGGCTCATCCACCAAATCCTGCAGAAGGTTTTCTCTTATCAGAAATTCCAGGGAAATAGCAAAGTGAAAAAAAGTACCACATGTTCTCTAAGAATTGTTGTGTATTAGAAATACTATAAGAAAAATTATTTTCATTTCAGTAACTAAAAATATTCACTACTCTCATAGCCTATGAATATGAAACATGAACAAAAGAATTAACTTTTATAAATATATTTAGATTTGCTTGAAATTATATTCTTTACAAAATAGAACAGTGGACATTATTTTCAATGACTGGTCACAGTAAGATGGCTGTGGTTATTTCAGTCACTAGGTAAACACAGTGTGTTAAAGCCTGGCTGTTTAGGTGATTCTGGAACCAACTGAGTTATGTGAGATATGCCTGGGCTAGTTTATGTCATTTCTGTAATTCTTTATTTTTTCTGTAATTCTTTATCATTTCTTTATTTAAGGAGGTCTGTGCCAAATGAGTGAACACACATTCGCACTAAATATTTATAAAATATTTATAAGTTTTCAAGGTCCTTTATAGTTGTTAATCTCACACTGAGATGCCTTGATATTTCAATTAGGAGTGTCTGTGTGGGTCTGTGTGTATGCAGCACACGTGCATGTGTGTACATCTCTGGTTGAACATATAAACAGGAAAATCCCAAGAGCCCATCTCATCTACAAGATGATATTTCAGCAGAATCTGGAAAATTCCTTTTCTTCTCTCAATGCTCTTCTTCAACCACGAATGCTCAAAATGACACTTTCAGTGATTCATTGCTTTGGTTCAAGTGTTAGTCCTTTGTCATTCTCCCAAGAGAGGTGATACCTACAGTCACATCAGACATCGAGTGTGTATGAGCCAGTGTGTCAGAAATGTCTGGTTTGAAGGAGGTGAGTGGTGTGCGAAGGCACTGGGCACCCAGAGGGCAAAGTTGGAGTTACCGACGGAAAGATGGAGGGAGGTGAAGGACCCAGAGAGGAGGGACTGGAGGCACTCAGGACCCACCATGCCCATGGTGAGCCCTCTACACAGCTCTAATGATGTAAATTAGAAACTATGAACCTGACAAAGCTTTTATTTTGTCCTCGCTCCCAAACAGCTGCTCTGCTCTCAATGCCATAGAGAAAGGGGGAAGGTAAATATTACTTTTGGGAGGAGGATGACATAGAATGGGAGGAAATCCCATGGCCTGAATGAGAGGGGAAATAAAAGACAGCCCTCCCGATTCTCAGAAACTGTGCAGAGAAAGGTGGGGACTAGTTGTCTGAGTTTCCTCAAGAAGGCCAGGGCAGAGTGCCAGGACAGGCACGGGCCGCCTTGCCAGGACAAGAGGCTGGGTGTCCTTAGAACACTGAATGCAAAACATGTAGAGTCAGCCAGCACCCAAACACCCGATGGGACCCTGCAGCAGCCTGAGTGACACTCACCATGAGGCCCTACACCCCCACACCAATCAGGGAAGATGGTGAGCTGTTAAAATAAGAAGAAATGGGATAGGGATACTTGAGGAAGTTTTAAGTCTGCTGTAGAAAATAAAGATGCTACCATTTTCCAGCACACTTGAATATTGTATGGGTAAATTTATGGCAGCAATAGCAATTTTCAAGGGAAATATACACTTTTTGTGAATCTTGTCTGTGCCATTATCTAGGTGCTCTAATGAGAATTCTTCCATATCCTTGTTCCAGGAGAAAATTCTAATGCTTTCCTGTCTTTCTCAATGGGTAGAAATAATAAATCAACCTTATGTGAACTGTTTCTCTCCTTACTAAGACTTATAATTTTGTGAGATCAGATGAAAACCTCCTGTTCATGGTGAATGTATAGTAGTTTTGGTGGCTATTCCATTAGCAGATCCAATTATGAATTTTTATTATGAATAAAAGTAATTAATATCTGCCCAGAAAATATTTCTAGGAACTTGGGAAACT